CTAATATTAGTGAAACAAATAAAAAAACTTTTTATGATTGTATTTTATTTCTATGTCTTATATCTAGTACTGGATTAATAATTTTAGCAGTTTCATCTATTCTACGTCGGAATCTCATTCTGTCAGCAACCATGAATTACCAGTATCTGGTTCTGCATGAACAATTGGCTTCAACATAGTGAATACGAACATTTTCGTTAAATTTGACCATTGAATAGTCCAGGGTATCTACAGAGTAACTCTAAAGCCATTCCATAAGTCACCTTATTTATATTTTTGATTGGCTCCATAATCTTAAGCCTGGATTCAATTGGGTTGTTGGAATCCACCCCCAGCTTTAATATTTCTAGGGAGTTGGTAAATTCTTCCTTCTTTAGGGTTTCTAAATGGTAATTAAGAAGCGGTAGTATTTTCCATATTGATGCTATTGAATTAGCACCCAACATGATCTGTGAATCACCTTTGATAATTTTTACAACTAACATGCATGGAAGTTGCATGAATTCTAGCAGAAAATCTCCATCTTTAATTGGTTGTTGGTGATTTCCCGCCATAAAATTATCAATCACATTTTTATGGGATAAAAATTTGATCCAATCGGTTTGACTGAATAAGACACAATCATGTTTGTATCCACTGATAATAACACTTGGTTCAAAGTTATATTCATGGGCTAAACAGATGGACACATATTTGGTATTTGATGGGTTTAAGTAAAAGCGACGTTCACTTAAAAACACGTTAGACATCTGCACTTTACCACTCATTGTTAAAAACTAAATAACACAAACAATACAAGACTTCTTATACCCCTTTACACGTGTTCACATATCTGGGGTGGGAGGTGTACGCAAATTAGCGAGCACATGGGGACAGCTGTATGCAAATTAGCAGCACCTGTATGCAAATTATGGACAGGTGTATGCAAATTAGGGAGAACATTCAAATTAGGGACAGCTGTATGCAAATTAGGGAACACATTCAAATTAGGGACAGGTGTATGCAAATTAAGGACAGGTATATGCAAATTGGGGAGCACATTCAAATTAGGGACAGGTGCATGCAAATTAGGGACAGGTGTATGCAAATTAGGGCAGGTGCTCCATGCTCCTCTGCTCCTACACTATTTCCTCCCTATTGATGGATTCTCGAGCAGGACAGTTCTTTCTTGAATGTATTGGTGGCCCACCACAGAAAAAACATTTGTGTCCTGACCTAGAAGAGTTAGTAGAGTTGGTAGCAGCTGTCACAGTGACACATTCAAAATTTGTTGGAGAGCTCTGTGACTCAAATTGATAGGTACTAGTTAGCACACTGTGTTGAATGTTGATTTGAATAAACCTGAGAGTTGAGTTCTGCCATTTCCATTGAAATAGCTATATTGTAAGTTTCTTCTAAAGTTAGTGTTAAACTCTCTAACAATCTCGATCATATCTTTGTGGATGTCATTCCAGCTATAAAAGCTCCACGGATTGTATCATTTTTATTAGTGTCTTTTATTAGTATCTACAGCAGTAAAATTGCATTTTTTTGCTAACTGTTTTAAAGATTGCTTGTAAGAATCGATAGACCCATCTGTCTGTTGTCATCTAGTGGTTAGTATGTGACGAGCATGAATAGTATTGTTTGGTTTGATGTATATTTTGTCAAGAGTTTGAATGGATTCGTTGTAAGTGTTACGTGGAGAAATATGATTTATTAACAGTTGTAGCTTAGTATCATTAATATCTAGGGGTGGTACAGCAGCACTATTAGCAGAAACAGCGGGAGTGACAATATGGACAGCTAAAAAGTTCATAAAAGTTCTTTTAAAATGGTCCCATTCCTTTGCTGTTAATTTCACAGATGGATCCCTGTCGAACCTCTCGGGTATTAGATACTTCTCCATTTATGTTGATTAAATTGAAATGATAAAGCAAAACCTAGGATATAAGGTTTTAATCAACATAAATTGTACACATGATTAAATTGAAATGATAAAGCAAAACCTAGGATATAAGGTCTTAATCAACATAAATTGTACACATAATGTTAAAAAAACAATAAAATTAACATGGCAGTGATAGTGACTTCTGTCAAACACTGACAGCATAAAGTTGCCTACAATATTTGAAGTGTACAGCCAAGGCAATTGTTGGAGGCCTGGCAAAGAAGGAGTTTCAAACAAATCCGTGGAAAGTCTAAAATATTCTCAAAATTTTTCGTTTTAAAATTCTTTTGACAAGCACCTTCTGTATTACGACATGAAATAATTTCGTTTACATTTTTATTTCTTTTATTTAAATTTGATATTATCAACTATTGTTCTTCCTTCTCTTCTTGGAGAATTAACATATTGCGTTAAGTTTACGAGTAGTCATTTTTCTAAACGTACAACCTTTAAGAGAACAAACTTGAAACTAATTTTTAAACTTTAGGGCAACATAATCTATGTATGCCATATGACTCTAACAAACCAACTCACCCAAAACTGCTGTGAGTTGAGTACAACAAATTCTGCTGTATGTATATGCCGTGCGCTGCACACTGTTCTAACAAACCTTAGCTTTACATATCCCTGTCAAATATCAATTAGATAGAAGATCTAGTTAAACTAGGTAGTGCAGTAAAAATCTGAATAATTACTAGAATTTACTAAATATTACTAATACTAAATAATTTACTTATTTTTGACGGATATTCTCTCACCTGAGTTTTCATCTAGTTCATTCTTCAATTTTCCAAGATCCATAGATGTAAATAGCTCATTCTCTATATATCCTTGGTCGTCTTGAGCAATTGTTTTCTTAAATTCAGGTTTTACTGCCATTGCTAATAAATACCAATTACATCAAATTGTTCACTAATTTTTATTATTTGTCTTACCTAAATAATTATCTTCTGGTTCATTCTTCAAACTTCCAATATCTCTTGATGTGGATAACTGACTTTCTATATATCTTTCGTTATATTCAACAAACTCTTCCTTAATTTCAACTTTAAATTCCATAGCTAACAAATTACCATTGGGGTACTAGCAAAGATGGTAGTACTGGAGCCATACAAATAAATTACACCTGGGAGTGTGCTATGCTGGAGCAACTTGAGCGTAGAAGATAGGAGATCAACCGATATGAAAAAATGAAAATTTTCTGTATACTATATTATTTATCTATGAATGAATGAAAACCTAAACCTTTTCGGTTAAGTTCTTCTTCTGTTGTTGTTTTACAGCTTCACCGGCTTCACGCTTCAATTAGTGTTCTGTGCTACAAGTCTACGAGGCGATTCGAAGTACAAACAAGCTGAGTATAGCCGCAAATGTCAACCATGGAAAAATATTTCGGTTTGGCAGTGTTGGCATGTTTTTATAAGGCATATTATGTTGTATGCTTCAAATATAAAGAGATAATAAAAAGGGTTTTCTTCAATATTGGTGCAATCAATGACGTATAATATATAGACTCGGTGATCGCTTTAAAAAGTGTCCAAAACATGAATACCTTTGTTATTGTTTATTGTTTTGATACGAAGATACACGAAGTTCATGATTTCTTACGAAGCATCACGAAGTTGATCTTGTGTTTGAAAACATCATGGACGTATGAAAACATTTTCTCCATTTTGTGTGACAAGCAAATTTTATTTTAAATTGTTGAGAGTTATTTACTTACTAGTTTAGTAAAATGCCATACTATTTTATCAAAATAATTATTTCTCTTATAGATGGGAACAAAAAGAAATCATAAATATTTAATTTTAATTAAAAAAATAATTATTGTCATTAAAATATAAATGAACACGCCGCTGTTCTGATAAACATACGTTCAACCTTGAGCCGAGATCTTTCGGACACTCGATTCTATAGCGAGAATAGGGGACTGCGTAGTCTATATATTATGGCAACTGTAGACATATTATGCACTACTTTATTCGTACTTTTAGTTGAAGAATAGATTAAATTATTTCAAATGTACTAAATTATTAATCTCTAAAAATTTAAATTACAGTTCTGTCGTAGCTTCTGTCACAAGACATTTCTCACCTCGAGTCTATGTTTACGTTTAAAATATGGTGATCGCGTGCTGACACACTTCAAAGGCGGCATCTGAGAGTGGGCATTCTGATTGTTATTTAATCTGTGCTTAAATACTAAAGCATTTGCCCAAATAGTTCGTACAAATTTTCTACAATTTAATTAATAACAAAGGATTGCGCACGATTTTTGGATAGAATCTGTGAAAATTGGATCAGGTGGAATTTACTTCCTTGATGTTTCGGGATGGACAGAAAAAACATTACTAATTTTACTGTTATTAGCGAGGATCAGATGGCAGTAGCCCTAGTGTTGGCTTTCCCTGGAATATCTGCATTTCTATTAAAAGGCAGAAAAACTTCAGATTTCGCTTTGAAATTACCCCATTAAATTAATGAAAAACCAGATTGCAACATCGCTAAAAATAGCGCAATGGCAAAGTTACAGGTATGTACATTAATCTTTGGGATGCATATACACTGGCCTACAAGAGGTTAGTATAGGGACTGGACAGAACTTTGAAAGATATTTGTGACAATAAAAAACACTTTTGCTAGCCATGATTTTATTGTCAGACTGTTCTTTACTTAATAATTATTACCCAACTAATTGCCACGGACGAATTAAATGCATACCTAACATTATCCAATATGCGAGTGTTTTTGCAACAATATCAAAGTGCAATTGTGTTTTCTAAGCAGCTCTTAGATATGAAGTCGCAATTGACATCTCGTCCGGATTCATTTCAATAACTCAGAGAAATCTAAAGAGCTTATTAAAATTTTAATACATACACTATTTAATTTTAGAGCGGCACGAAGTTTGCCTGAAGAGCTAGTAGAATATAAGTGCAGAAATCAGTACGATAAAATACGATAAATTTAACAACGGCGCACGATTTTCTGACTTCGATAGCATGGCATCACTGTTGTTGCTGAGACCATAATTTTGTTGTATATCCTATGTCATGAGCATGAGCATCAATTTTTGTGGTCATGCTTCTGGTGCATCTGGGTTCTCTGTTATCTGTCACTGTCATATATACACAAGATAAGATATGACAATTATGACATGACATGAATGAAGAATACATAAGGAAGTAGGTAATGTTTTTCTTTTATGTATTTATATTTATATGTTTTACAATTTTAGGAATTAAAATCTACAGTTGTCCTTTATAAACATGACGACCGAACAAAAATTTAATGCTGCTGTGAATGTCATCAGAAGTTTACCAAAAAATGGTAAGTATTTACATATTTATATTTGTTCCTAAAAACAAAGTTCACTTAAAGATAACTATGTCCTGTTAACTTTTTAACGGATATATATATTTCTCGATTTTTATTCGTATCTGTTGCAATAACAAATTAAATCGCCACATTTACTTTAATTGCCAATATATCTAACTGGAACTCACAATAATTTATTAACCCACCACTTAAAGATCTTGGATAACTATTATTTTTCACGTGTTAACGTTAATAACAGCTAAATTAAGTAAATTAAAGCAGTTTAATAAAGATACAAGATCTAATAACAAAACAACAGAGGTAACAATTTTGAGCTCCAGAATAGGCAACAACTAACATACAGTTGTTAAAAGAGTCAGTAGATAATGTTTGAAGTTAATACTAATTCAACCTATGTTTCCATAATATATAAATTGCTTTTCTTTTTTTGAGGTTACATGTATGTTATCAATGTTCCATATATGGCTTTGGAGTTGTTCTACTAAAAAAAACTTCTATAGTGTTTTAGCTTATTGCCTAATAAATAGCTTTAACCCATTAGTGTGTCATAAACTTTTTTAGATGGTCTTTTATGAAATTTTGAAAAACATGTTAAAATGGCATTGAGTTAAAGTAAAAAAGAGTTTTTCTACCTTTCATATGTTGTATTTTTTAAAATATAACCTGTTATCATATGTAACACCATAGATATAATACAAATAAACTGAATGTTTGCAATACAGACCCATTCCTCTAGTATGACCGAGAATACTAACACAAAGCAGTCCCTGCATCTCTTTTTAATGGATCGGGTTTATTGACTACATGACCTAAATGACTAATGGAAAGGTCTCATAGTTGGTGAACCGGCTGCATTAGAAAGATACTCAGGGACTACTTTGCTTCAGTCTTCTCTTTCATACTGGGGAAATGGGCCTGTATAGCAACAGTCTGTATTTTTATTTATATGTCTTTGGTTAACAGTGGGAATTTGCATAACCATTATCTTCTAATATGATTCAGAAGGAAACAATACAACAGTATTATTATTAACTGAGAAGAGAGTGTGGATTTGATGATTTTTGTGGTTTTTTCTACTTTTGGTGCAACATTGAGTCACTTCTTTACAAAAATTGTATAGACTATGTATGATGGGTATGTGGGTGCTTGGATATTGCCTCAAAAATCTGTAAACCATATGGACATTTTTGAAAGAAAGATACCAAGACAAATACTAGACCCTATAATTATTAGGAATTATGAAATATTTATTATCTATAAAGCTCAACAGGCCTAGGGCCGAAAAGTTTATTTTTTGAATATAATTACTATGTACATTTATTTGTATAAAATATATTTAAAATTTCTTATAGTCTTTCTATACATTTTATATTTTGCACTTCCTTCCATTGATTTCTGTCCATTGCTCTTTCTTTTCAATTCTCAATATTACTTTTTTGTAAGTCTTCATATAATATGCTGTTCTTCTATATTTTTCTTGGTCTACCTTTTCTTCTTTTTTGTATTGGCTTTCATGATAGTACCATTTACAGTATTCTTTCCTTTCCCATTCTTTTAATATGTCCTAAATATCTTATTCTCTTTGCTTTGATTACCATTGTTATTTTTGATTCATTGTGTAGTTCTTCAACTTCTTTATTATTCCTTCTCCATTGACCATCTATTTTCACAACTCCATATATTGCCCTTTGTATTTTCCTCTCCCATATTTCTAAAAGGTCTATTTTTGATTTTTTTAAGCACCCATGTTTCACATGCATATGTTGCTGTAGGCCTGATAACTACTTTTTACATTCTAATTTTTGTTTTTCTTGAGACATATTTGGATTTCATTAATGATCATAACGCTCCATAATTTTTGTTTCCTTTTGCTATTCTTGCTTTTATCTCCCCTTCCTCATGCCCTTTTTGATCTAGCTTTACACTCAGGTAAGTAAATTCTGAAGCTCTTGATCATGCATGTATTTTCTCTTTCTATGTCCAATGTGAAATTGTTCTCTTTTTTTATCTGTTTCTCCCATTATCATTTGTTTTTTCTTGTTTATTAGAAATTGCCATTTTTTCCCTGCCATTCCTACTGCTATTTTGTCTTTTCCTTGTTTATTAGAAGCACAATTTTTTGCCTATATTATTATATTGTTCATTAATCTTTTTAGTTCTCTCTTATTTGTTGATATTACTGCCAGGTCGTCTTCGAGAATGCTATTCATTGATGGCTATTTTTAAATATTATTCCTGCATATTTATTTTGCTTTTTCTGATTATTCCTTCTAGTATCAAATTAAAAAGAGGTATTGTAAGTGGGTCTCCTTGTCGTAATCCTTCATTTATTTCAAAATTATTTGATTTATGACCCTTCCATCCTATTTCGTTTGTTGTGTTATTCATAGTAATTTTTACCATCCTGACATTTTACTTGGTAGGCCCAACTCTTTCATTAGTTCATACATCTGTTGTCTCTGTAACCTATCATAGGCTTGCTTAAAGTCGATAAACAGGACATATACTGCTATTTTATGTTTGTAGCATGTAGTCTATTTCTTTTAGCTCAAATATTTGGTCTGTCATTCACCTGTTGGTTCTAAATCCTGCTGATCTTCATCCAATATCTTTTCCGTACTAATGTACTGATTTAGCTTTTTTCTTATGGTTTGTGTCAAGATTTTGTAAATTACTTCTAGCAATATGATGCCTCTATAGTTTTTACATCCCATTTTGTCATCTTTTTTGTGCATTGGGCATATCCTTTCTATGGTCCAATCTCTTGACATTTTCTATATCTTATGTAGCCTTTTCCCTCTTGTTTTATCATTTCTGTCAATATTTCTGTTATTCCTAGGCTTTTATTGTTGTTTAGTTCCATTAATTTGTTTTCTATTTCTTCCTTTGTAGGTATGTGTACTACTATGTGATCATTTTCAATTTAATGGATTGTTTCACTTTCTTCTTAGTTTTTGTTTAACAGTTGTATAAAGTAAGTTTGCACAAATTTTTCTTTATTTCCCCTGATTCATTTATCAATGTCTCTTCATTATTCTTCATGAATGGGTTATTTTTCTGATATTCTCTTTCCATTTTTCTTGTTTCCTGGTAAAATCATCATTGTTTTTGCATGTTATCTTCACAATTCTCCTCAATTTACTGTATTCTTGTCTGCTACTATCACTATTGTTTGTTAAATTTTCCATTCTTATTTTTCTAATTGCTTCTGCTATTTTTTAACATCTCTCACCATACCATCTTCTTTTGTTTTGTGTTTTGTATTAGTTATTCATGTGTAAAACTGCTTCTTTATGCTCTTCCACTGTTCTTCCAGGTCTATTGTTTCTGATTCTTTTTTTAGTCTACAGATTATTCACTTTTTGTACTTCTTCTATGTAGTATTATGCTTTAGTATTTCTGTATTGAATTGTTTTTTGATTTCCTTATTCGTTTTATTGTCTTTCATTATATTTGATTTCATTTCATAACCTGCTCTTACAAAAAAAGCGGCCAGAGTTACATTCTGCTCCTCTCATGCTTTTTATATTTATTATATTGCTGACATGTTTCTTCTCTCTCAATATGTGATCTATTCAATTTATTGTCTTTATATATATATATATATATATATATATATATATATATATATATCTATATATATATATATATATATATATATATATATATATATATATATATATATATAAGGATCACTCAGACGAGTGGTGGGTTCTTATATCGGTCTCTAGGTGGAGAAATAAAAGACAAAGTTGATAGGCTACTTTATCTATTTTGAAGACGTTTCGCTTTCGAGTTTTGAAAGCATCATCAGTTCATCTTAAAAAGACATGTAGCAGTCAATGTTATTAACAATAATGTGAATGAAACTAAGTAAATGGACATAATACGCTGATCTTGTATAAACAGTTAAGTAACTAACAACATATATGAACTTATAAAAATTAGCACAGCAAATGACCATGTGGTCTAAAGTAAATTCAATGTTATTTAATGTTAATTAGTGAGTAAGAACCAAGAAAATCATAGATAACTTCCAACTATTTAATATTAGCTTTATCTAGATTTAGTTTAAGTTATCTATGATTTTCTTGGTTCTTACTCACTTATTAACATTAAATAACATTGAATTTACTTTAGACCACATGGTCATTTGCTGTGCTAATTTTTATAAGTTCATATATGTTGTTAGTTACTTAATTGTTTATACAAGATCAGCGTATTATGTCCATTTACTTAGTTTCATTCACATTATTGTTAATAACATTGACTGCTACATGTCTTTTTAAGATGAACTGATGATGCTTTCAAAACTCGAAAGCGAAACGTCTTCAAAATAGATAAAGTAGCCTATCAACTTTGTCTTTTATTTCTCCACCTAGAGACCGATATAAGAACCCACCACTCGTCTGAGTGATCCTTATATATATATTGGATTGACGGTCGTACTCCTTTTTCCGATATATATATATATATATATATATATATATATATATATATATATATATATATATATATATATATATATATATATATATATATATTCTGTGTAGTTGTGCGCTTTTTATTACCATTTGTCTTTCTGTTGCTAAACCTATAATTCTTTGCTGTCATGCCATTGCTGTCATAATCATTTGATATGTCATGCTTACTGTATTATATTTTCATATATATCCTTTTTTCCACTTTAGCATTGTAGTCTCCCATTACTATTTTGATATCAAATCCTGGTAGTTTTTCATATTCTATTTTTAGTTGTTCATAGAATGCATGTTTGTCTTCTTCTGCGACATCTTCTATTGGTGCATGAACATTTATTATGCTTATGTTAGGTTGATTACCTATTAACCGATTATGTACATTATGTCTGATATTGGCTTGAAATTCATCACTTTGTTTTCCATCTTTTGTGTATCTTAAAACCTGTTCCGATCAATCTGTTTTCCCCCCACTTTAAAAAAATATATCCTCTATTTCTACTATTTACTGTA